AAATAAGTGAAAATGTTCAATATGAGGTTAAATATTTAAGTAATGTAATCTTGGAATGTTCATTACCGAGAAGCACCTGAGAAATATTTTCTGCTATAGGGAGATAAGAAGGGTTGTTGAATTTCGTGGTTCTTTAACTTAATTACGTACTTACGCCTGTTACTCCCAATGGAGCATAGGCCGCCAACCACCATTCTCTAACCCACTACGTCCCCGGCCTTCCTTTCCAGTTCTATCCAAGCGTTGTTCATTCTTTTCATGTCTGTTTCCATTTCTCGGCGTAATGTGTTCTTTGGTCTTCCTCTTCTGCTTTGGCCTTCAAAATTCCAAGTGAGGGCTTGCCTTGTTATACAGTTGGGTACTTTCATGAATGTGTGTCCTATCTACTTCCAGCACTTCTTGATTTCTTCCTCCAATGGAATATGGTTTGTTCTCTCCCACTGTATTGGTTGATGCTGATAGTGTCTGGCCGACGGATCTGAAGTATTTTGTGTAGCCAGCTGTTAATAAACACTTGTATCTTCTAGATGATGGCTTTCGTAGTTCTCCAAGTTTCCGCCCCATACAGTAGAACTGTCTCGACATTCGTATTGAAAATTCTGACCTTGGTCCTATAACACCGACTTACTTTAATTAAACAACTAATGACAACCAGGAAAAATTTGACGAATATTCCGTATTGGTATGAGACTCCACAGTAATCATAGTATGCTAGATGTGACATCAATATCTTTTTAGATGAGTGGACGCCTCAAAAGAGTCTTATACTAACACATAACCTTTGTTTAGTGTTTTCTGATTTACAATAGCTATCTAACTAAAGTGAGTTCATAATTTTAATCTACACAAGCGAAAACTATATTCTCATTCAACATTTATGACGTCAAACACTATTCATTGCAATAATCTATAATCTTAGTACCGCCTATTATTCAACATTTCAACTAATCTTCAGATAGAGAATAATAATGATTGACACGATAACGATTTTCTATTAATATCTAATGGACAACAAATAATACATAATATACATCTATGTGAAAGAACTATTCAAATACCTTTTTATGTATATATTCACATCACTCAATAAAACTTTTATTTTAGCAGCAAAATAAATAAAACATATGAATTAAAACAAACAATCTTCCGAAATAAGTAATATGCATTACTTATTCATGAAAAACAGTAGTGTATTTATCATTTTAATGTCATAAACTATATTTTACTGGGTTACCTTTCAGATTAGTTATTAATCGGTAACCGATGTCGAGTTCATATTGCTGATATGATATGATTGATCAAGTTACAGTGTAGCCACTAAGTGTATTATATTTTATTACTAGCTGGATAATGATTTCCAGTCAACTATCTTCAATTATTTAATATCAGGTTTGTATATAATATACATTTTTAGAATAACTGATGTTTAAAGTGAGGTGGGAAGAAGAATATTTAAGTAATATGTAAATTATCAGAATGGGTTTGTGGAGATTTTTAGAAATTTTCACAGATTGAAATCATGAGTCAGTTGAAGCTAGACCACCATTGAAAACCTGGAAGCACTGAACGGCCGTTTCGTCCTAGTATGGGACTCCTCAGCAGTGCGCATCCACGATCCCGCACCACGCGGGGCCCAGTGGTCTAATGGTTAAGTGCTCGCGCGCGAAGCCAGTAGGTCCTGGGTTCAAGCCCCGCGTGGTGCGGGATCGTGGATGCGCACTGCTGAGGAGTCCCATACTAGGACGAAACGGCCGTCCAGTGCTTCCAGGTTTTCAATGGTGGTCTAGCTTCAACTGACTCATGATTTCAATCTGTAATATATAAATTGTTAGAAACCACAATATTAATAACTCACGACTTTATAATAGACTGAAATAAGGATCTTAGGTGATATTAGTAACCATAATACTATTTAACCATATAGATTGAATTGACTAATAATCACATGACGCCAACCTCATGAAACTAAGACAATTTTTTTTATTTTCTGAGAAGATTTATCACGGTACATCTATGCTATAATTTTTTAAATAGTTGTATACACTTAAAGACTTCTAGAGTAGAGTTCAAATAAATACGGTTTAAACATTAATAAAATATTAATTCATTATTATTTGGTTTTGTACTTGACCTACATGTCTAATCCATAGAGTATCAGCATTTCGTCGAAACAGCCAAACATGTTTCAGTTGGTAACCAAAGTGGGTTTGTAAGTCAATCATCCTCTTAAGATCTTTGTGTTGTTTTTTTGGCAGCACTAATTCAGTATTAACGTTTCCCAACTCATTCAAGTAAACTCTTTCTACTTACCAATTTGGTTTAAACACTGAGCATCTGCTTTATTAATGAATCATCAAAATTTTTTACCGATTTATATATTTATATCTCTTTTTTATTGCATTCATTGATAAGTATCAAGATGAGTATAAGCTATTTATGTTGAGTCGGCTTTCCGAGAACTGCAACGGAGCCTCCAGAGGCCCTAGAGGAGCCGAAGAGTCCTAGTCAATCAGAGCATGATGGAGCTTTCTAGAATATCAACGTGGCGTACTGCTACTGGTCAGTAGTATAATATGTCTTTTAGCGGACTGCCCAGAATTTAATGTTGATTTAACAGACGTTAACATCCATAAATACCCGTGTTTTTCTGTACAAAAATGAACCTTGGAGTAAAGTACTTCTCGTATACTTTGCGTCTTCTCTCTCGTGTTCAGGTTGCTGTATAGTTCTAGCTTGGGGGTTACAGAATAGATTAGGAATCGAATAAAGCGTTCAAATTAACAAGACTTATCGATTTAACTTCCATTCTTTATTACTGAAGATGAAAAATGTCCAGGATTATTTTATTAATTTCGTTTTTATAGTAATAGTCTTCAGATGGTTACAAGAAACTAATCAACTTCTCTCTAATAATAAAGCTATTATCTCATATCACTACGCACTGGTAGTGTCTTTAGTTATTCAATGAATAATATTATTTACCATGAAAGAAGTATTGACTAACAATTATAGTTTAAGAACAATCAGGAAATAAGTTTAAAAGTAGTCCTTTAACAGTAAAATACATTTAATTTGAGTTTACATAATATTCATTAACAAAATTGTTCGCTCAAAATCTATTTCATATCATAAACTGATATACATTGAAGAACTATCTAAAACCTTGATATAATCAATCGTAAACATTATCAACACCGGGAGACTTCGACCTAAAGGTCTGATCCGTAAGGCAGTGGAGCGACGTCAGAAGATTCAGTCCCTTGGTAACCGGTGACCAATAATTGGTTCATACGTCAATTGTTCCCTCGGAATCATGGAGCCCATGTGCACCATCGGTTCGGAATAAGGGCTGCCCAACTCCCCTAGGCCGATCCTCCATATCCACCAACTCAGTTAGAGCGTCAGACATTCGCTTTTCATCCTTTCAATTTCGCAAACAATATCCCCGCCGCGAGAAGTCAGTGAGTAGGACTTCTGTGGCAGTGGTTGTATGCACATGGCCATCTGAAAGCATTTCGAGAGGGACAGCTGACTCACCCCATTGTCGGCCGTACCAGGGCATTTGGAGATATATAAAATCCCATAAACAAAACCTATTACGACTGGTAGTCATTTAAACGGGCATTTTTCAATTAAATATGATTGTTTGATAACTGATATTTTTGCTTAGGAAACAACTAAATTTATAATTATACAACTCATCAAGGTTATTTCATTAAACATGAATTCATATATCCGTTTGTAGTTATTATGTATTGACACTAAATAATTAGCATAACTTCAGACCGTCTAAAATAGTCCACGTATATACATATTCATGGATTAAATTAAAATCCACTGTATTTCTATTGAATTTAGTAAGTCATATGTCTCAAGGTCAGTAAATGATTGATTGTCTCTTTTTACTGTAACATGCTACATATATGCAAATATATATGAATTAATTTGCATGTTATTTATTAGTAGTCATTTGTTTTGAGTCCACAAAGTCCACTAAATCTAGTATATCAAGTACAGATTATTTGTAAAATAATAAGAAGCATTTTTATTTGATGATAATATGTAGTGATAGAATGGTATGACTGATCATGAAGTAAGCTAAATTTCTAAGGGGAGCTATAGATACTTGAAAAAAAACAGTTATTTCTAATAATTGAGATCGTGAACCGGTCAATGTTAGATCATCATTGAAAACCTGGAGACCCTGGACGATCGTTTCGTTCTAGTATCGGATTCCTCATCCGTGCGCATCCACGATCGCGCAAACGGGACGCGAAACCGGGACCTTCGATCTCGCGACCACTGTACCAGCACCCAGGGGTGTCAATGTTTAGCTTCAACCAACTCACAATATTGCGCGATCATTCTATTTAAACATAATCGAATCAAATAATTTCATCAAATGTAAATCTACATAAATTGTTAATTCATTAGGAAATCAATGGAGATTGTTTCACCAACACAACAAAGGTTCACCTCTTTCCCTAATGTTTTCTGTCATACGTCATAACGGAATCTGGATCTTCATACCATTGAAAGCAAAAATAAAAATTTCATTTTGTTTAGAACATACTGGTTGATAATCATATCAAGACTCGAATCCAATAGCTATTGTTATGAATATCACAGCTTCAATGATTTAGTCCTAAACAACAACAGTATAATAAAAACACTCACAAGATATTGGAAACTGTCACGATTTATCAACCCTATGGATAACACAATCTAAACGTTGATTACTATGTTCAAGTTTCATTAGTAACATTAAAATTGAAATAAAAATACATTCAACTAACAAGTTCTGAATAGGCCCCCAAATATATATCTTGAATTCAACCTCTAGTTACCATATATAATCGAATCAACTTGTTAGTGCTTCATTTGAAGAAGAGTTGGGTTTTTTTAGTTGCACTGACAATTTAGTATTAAAGAAATTTTCGAAAAAAAACAACAATAGCAATCAAATTGGCAGGATGAAAAACAAACAAAAGAGAACTTACGTAATTCACATGTGAATTATGTTTGTCCCATGTTTGTTCAAATTCTTTTTGTGCAACAATATGACAATTAATTGTAGATTCTAATCGATCATTATTACTACTGCTGGCGTCATTAGATACAGTATTGTTATTATTATCATTATTAATAGATTGAGATATAACTGAATGTTGTTGAGATGATAAATTCAGTTTGGAAATTTCCGAATACGATAAAGAAGTAGACATAGTATGGTTTGAAGGTGCTTTAAACGAGTAAAAGAGAAGAAAAAATGACTAGTTACGAATGAATAGTGCGGTGAGAATGTTACTGTAGATAATAGTTACTCAGCGATATAATTAGTTTGGTATTATATCAAAGGCAATTATTAAGTCTAAACTATCTTGTAAAGAAAATTAACTATGATATCGTTGAATGCTTCTACGAGAAGAAGAGATTCAAATATAAACGAAAAAAATATGACTGTCTTACCCTAATTACCAATACTCATTCCTGGTACCTACTGACAAGCATGAACTAAAAGATAATTACTTCTGATTAACATTTATATATAATCTACGACCAACTGCTTAGCTATTTGCTGAATAACTGTTAGATGAATACTATGGGATCTTCTTTTTCATTCTGAACCAATTTTAGAATAATTTACACAGTGAAAGAATAATGCACAATCCACACAGATGAACAAGGAGGTTCAGATGCAGACGTAAAGGCGAGGATTGGCAAAGCAAGGGTCGCATTCCTACAATTGAAGAACATATGGAACTCAAAACAACTTTCAACCAATATCAAAATGAGAATCTTTAATACGAACATCAAGGCAGTTCTACTGTATGGAGCTGAAACTTGGAGAACTACAACAACCACAATCAAGAAAGTACAAGTATTTATAAACAATTGTCTACGCAAGATACTCAACATCCATTGGCCGGATACCATCAGCAATAGCCTTCTGTGGGAGAGAACAAACCAACTTCCAGCTGAAGAAGAAATTAGGAAAAGACAATGGAAATGGATAGGACATACACTACGCAAGTCGTCAAACTGAATCACGAGACAAGCCCTAACTTGGAATCCTGAAGGGAAGCGAAAAAGAGGAAGGCCAAAGAACACATTACGTCGGATAATAGAAGCAGATATGAAAAGGATGAATTACAACTGGAAGGAGGTAGAAAGGATTGCCCAGGACAGGGTTGGATGGAGAATGCTGGTGAGCGGCCTATGCTCCTTCACGAGGAGTAACAGGCGTAAGTAAGTAAGTAACACAGATAAATTAGTTTGATATCAGCATAAATTATTGTAAAGTGTAAAAAAAGTTATTAATTGACCGAATGTTTATGATCAAAATATTCGGTTCCAGAATATGATCGTATATAGATGTGTAATACCTCCATAATCGTCTACTTCAATCGATTAAGCCTTACTGGAAAGAAGGACGTTATTTTCGTTTTGTTCAAGTAGGATAAAAGATGCTATAGAATGATGTTTATACAGTAGGCTACTAGTTACTGATTTTAAACTTAAGCCTGTATCATGATAACTACTATTAATGGTCGTAGACTTCGAGTGACATGGTTCAGAATCATTCACAATAACTCAAATGTTTTTGCTGTTTATTTTCTAAAACTTGAATTCCAGTATTACTTTATATATATCTAGCCAATATATCTTTTTAAATCTCATTCTTAATGCTTAGTCTCTCTCTCATCACTGTCACTACATTATTCCAATCTCTTTTGTTATTCACCTTATTAATTTTTTCTTGTTGTACTAATAGGCTGTAGTAGCTTGAGGTAATGAACATCTATATCAAGCTCTACGTTGATGATGACGAACTAATTGACTAGTATAATCTGTGAAACATTTTGATGACTATATACTTAACAATAATTCTGATTACTTGTTGACATTACCCCAGAAATTATAGAAAACCAAGAATAACTAGTGACAACTTTCATCCTGGATTAGAATTTTTCAATAAATTGCATCATCGATTATTTCCCTACGAGCACATTTGCATTTGTTACATCAGTTAGACGTAGCGATTCAATCTCTCAAAGAATAACAGCTACTTGAGGATTTACATCTCCCCAATTTTAAGTCATCTACAAACGACCTAGTCTCATTAGGCTTATATCATAATGAAGGTATCAGTCTGTCAATATGTAAAACAATGTAGAACCTATCACAAACATATAAATTACTATTAGATATTAGGTGACATAACTTTAAATTAGTAACAATGGTGAAATCACAGTACATTTAATATTTATCAGAAATCTTGAACTCATTGTCATTGTTTACTAATAGTCGACAATCTTAATCGTGCTTAAGGTAACATATTTCTTATATTTTTGAGTTTTCCACATATTTTTCTCTTTTTTCCTCGGATTAATTTTACGCTTCATTGTTATATTATTTATAACGTATGACAACCTAAACTGATACGTATATTCATGATACATTCTATATTATCTATGACTGACTGACTGACTAGCTAATTGACATTGTGATGACTTGAATATTTTCAATGATAACTAACTACTATATATAAGCAATCATGATCTATCAAAACATATATATATTAAAAAGAAACAAAATAAGAATATAAAATGAAATGTTTGGTTGTTTGTTTGTTTATTTGTTTTTCTCTTGGCATGAATTAACCATAACTGTACACTTATTACTGGGGGAGGGATAGTGTTTTCACCTTGAAATCATATAATTTATTTACATGTATAAATGTGTATCTACATAGCATGTCACATAGAGAATTATAGCTGTTTTGACACTTTTAATGTCAAGGCATTAAAACAAAAACTTTTAAAATTTGTATTGTACATCAGAAAACTAATGTTACTAGTGACTACAGCAATTACAAAAATATTTTTTCCTAATATTTAGTTAAAATATTAATGACGGATAACATTTTTTTAAAAAGAATCGGAAATAATAAGGCTGACAAATTGTTAGGTTCAGAAGGGGTTTTGTGGATATTATAATAATTCTAATAGTTAAGATCATGAGTCGATTGAAGCTAGACCACTATGGAAAACCTAGAAGCTCTGGACGGTTGTTTCATCCCAATGCGGGAATCCTCAGTGACAGTGTGCATCCACGATCCCGCCTCGTGAGATTCGAATCCAGAACCTATCAGTCTCGCGCTCCCAGGTTTTCTATGGTGGCCTAGTGTCAATTGACCCATGATCTCGACTATTAAAATTGTTAGTTGTTATCATCAAATGAAAAAATATTTTATGAAGAGACCTTTGTATATCCTAGGAAAGTAACTTTTATAACTATCAAAATGATAACGACTGATGAAACACTGAAAATTAATGAGCACAGAACAACTGTTTCAAAATTCTGGTTTAAAATTTTTCAACAGTGAAGCTACTAATTTTCCATTGGCTAATAAAAGTTTATGATAAATATTATTTCTAGAAAATATAAAAGAAGGCTCCATTTAATTTGGAAATAATCAAATCGTATCACTAGTGTTCAATTATCAGATAAAGTTTTTAAAGTTCTGTTGTGAATTATATGATCAATCAAGTCGAATGTAAAATAGTAACTCATAAATAACAATGTACATCATGAATTAAGTTTCTGGGTAAGTTATTTATAAAAGGATCATGCTCAACGCTAGATGTGATCTCATTTGAAGTCAGGAGTGTGTACTCTTGAATGATCCCATATGAGTTTTCAAACAACCCTTCAGTCAAATTCAGTTTGCGATAAATATTCCTGGTAAATCGTATATCGTTGACAAGGACAATCTACTTAGTGAAACATATTTTACATAAAATTAAGTAAATTTCCCTTATAAATCTTTTTTCGAAATAAAAATCCAAAGTCAAGCGCATATAAATAAACACGTCCGTTTACAACATTACTGTTTATCCCCTTATGATGTTCCTTGATCCGCACTTCTAATTTACCACATCTACAGGGGATTAAATACTTACATAACAATTTAAATGACATGGTAGATTGTTAAGTCTCATTTGCTATAAATAATTTAGTTTCCAACCATAATAACAGTCAGGATGGATAGTGGCTAGCAGTAGAAACCAGGATGTGCATTTCGTCCTATTTGGGACTCGTTATCTGAACGTACCTGTATTCACTCCAGGACTCGGACCCAGTGTCGTCTAGATTTCCAGGGGTTGAACTTCTACCGAAAGGTTCACTTGTTGACTTAGAACATGCCAATGACATAGTTCTATTTGGTGAAAACGCTGACAAAATGCAGAGTCTTCTGATCACTCTAAGCAACAATGCAAGCATGTTCGGGATGCGATTCTCCCCCTCGAAATGCAAAATGTTGCTTCAGGATTGGGTTGCACTGACACCCGAACTAATGATAGGGAGTGAAGTAATTGGGCGTGTCGACCGCTTCACTTATCTGGGAAGTCTCATCAGCCCTTGTGGTCTGGTTTGTGACGAAATCTCAGCACGGATACAGAAGGCTCGACTAGCTTTTACCAACTTGCGTCATTTATGGCGTAGGCGAGATATCCGTCTATCAACCAAAGGACAGGTTTACTGCGCAGCAGTTCGTTCCGTCATACTTTATGGCAGTGAAACATGACCGGTAAAAGTAGAGGATATTCGTAGGTTAACAGTATTCGATCATAGGTATCGTCGAAGCATTGCTCGTATATTCTGGGACCATCGAGTAAGTAACGCAGTTGTTGGGAAACGGGTTGGGGACCGCGAGATGATAGCAACCGATGGTTAGAGACCCTGAATGACATGGCTCAAAATCGTTTGCAATGGCGCAGGTGCATCCACTCTTTGTGTTCTCCCAAATTCTAATCTTCTGAATTCTTCATGTCCCTTTCTTTTTTCTCCTTCCAAATTTATTTCACTGTATTATAGTCCTTGAATAACATCTCCAAACCCTAATTTTTCTGATTACAGCTTATAATTTTACTACATCTAACACTACGGGATTTGAATCGACCACTGCATCTCTGTGCTAATGTGGTGTGGCAACTCGAACTGATGTACGTACGTACGAAGTTCTACGTTGTTACTGACTGACTGACTGTGTTATCCACTTAGCTACTGAGTCGTGATAGCCACTAGCTTGTGCAATAGGGTGACGTTCGAATTCACTTGGTGTTGTTTTACTTGTATCTTCCCATAGCTATTTAGGATTTCACTGTTAGCCACTATCCATCTTTGCTTAAAAAAGCTTGTGACTTAAGGCTATATCAAGGCAATCCACACAGGATGTACATATGCCAACAAGAGATTGATCAGTTCAGTCCTAAATAATAATGGGAAGATACGAGTAAAACAACATCAAGTGAACATAATAATAGTTATTGTTATTATTAAAATACAATTGAATCTGATTTTATATGATTCTCAAAGTTCATGAGTCGATCTAAGCTAGACCACCACTGAAAACTTAGAAGCGTTGGACTATCGTTTCGTCCTAGTATGGGACTCCTCAACAGAGCGAATGTACGTCGCCGCACCAAAGGGACTCAAAACTGGAACCTTAGATCTCACACGTGAACACTTGACCTGTGGACCACTGAACCGGCATCCAGCGGTGGTGATTTTCAACTTCAATCAATCCATGATCTTGAGGAACCACCCACCCATTGTCTGGGGTAGATAACTGTCTCTCACCCGACACGGATTGATCTCCACTGATCACGACTTCTCGCTAGGACTCCATGAAATCCATCTTGAAGCTAGTCAATAGTGAGTACATGATTATTATTAGGATAGGAATTTATGAAGAATGTAATTTTGATAGTTGAACTCATGAGTCATCCTAAGCTAGAGCACCAATAAAAACCTGAACGACGTACCGGATGATTCACTAAACATCTTTAATCATCAGAAACATATATATAGTCTTCATTATTTGGAGGCAGTAAATGTGTCTATGACTTTGGAAAAAATACATAACTCGTACCTACACAAGTCTAACTTAACAATATTATCAGTAAGTTATTACAGATACGAGCTTTCTTCAAATTTATTGTATCAGGTAATTTCTGGGCAATAAAATCAGATATTTTTTCGGAGGAAAGTTAAATGTTCTATAATAATAGATTGAAAATCTGCTAAATAAAAACTTTTAATGATTTCATTCTTATTATCATAGAACTCACTTGTTAATCTTCACTATAATCTTACTCAACCTGTTATTATTGGTTAGCGTTTCTTTCGTGAGTTGGTTTTCTGAGGGATGGGGCAGCTAACCCCATGCCCAACCCTCCTCCTTTATCCGGGCTTGAGACCGGCAGTAGCCCCCAGAGGAATTCCAGGCGGAAAAAATATATATATATCGAGTAGAAGTGTATCAAACTAAAACTAATCCATTTCTACTAGAATATCTTTATTTAACGTGAATAAGAATGCATTGAAGACATTAATATAATAATACCAAAATGAACAATTAAATCCTTGTTAGTATTCTATATTTAAATGTAATCAATGATTAGGGCTAAGTAACAATTCACTTACATAAAGTTATTTCATGTTTCAACGCACAAAAAAAAGAATTAATTAACTACATATTGTTCTATGTATATCGAATTTGATTCTATCTTTACAACTAGAATTAATCTATAGTAAAATTTCAAAAAAATCTAGAGTAATTATTAACTTCAGAGGAAACATTGAAAAATGGTTAACGAAGATATTAACCTAATGTAGTTAATCTGTCTGATAAAACAATGTTCATAGTTAATTCAATGAAAAAAAACCATCTATTTTATGAAGATATTCATTGAATAAAACTCTTAATCACAATAGATACTCATCATATAGTTTATAACTAGTATAATATTCATACGAATGAAAAGATACATCACATAATATGAATATCTATTCAAGTTAATAAACAAAATAAATCAGTCCAATTTAGCTACTTCATAAGTTCTAATAATTATTTAACTGACATATAGAAATGCATTCTTCGCTTCTTTTTTTTAAAAAAAAAAATGAGATAGAAAGGCCTTATCGAGGTAAAATGTTCATGTTCCTTTTCTTTATTATATATATATACATTGTATTCCATCTCTGTTGTAGGTAAACATTCCAACTAACTATTTCTGTGTTTGCATAACCACAGAAAAATTACTTATGCCATCATTTGCCTATTTCTTTTCACTCTCCACTGTAAATAATGATCTTCTAATGTTCTATTTTCTTTTAGTACTATCATAATTTATCAATGAAATATTATAAGTGGTAATTTGTTTGTTTGCTTGTTTGTATTATTATTATTGTTGCTATGTTCTTCATTCCATTTTTCTTATATTTTTATTTAACATTAAGTAATAATGAAAGTTTCTTCTCTTTATATTCACTAGTTTTTTTTCAGATTAAGTGAATTTCTTTCGTTTTTGTAAATAAGGATGACAGAGAAATAATGGTATTAGAGAATATGGATGGGAAGAAAGTAAATTATCGTTTATGTATACACAGGCGAACAGGTGATTAATAAAAGCATATTAAAACAACAAACTCTATACATGTGAGAAAGTAGAAGAAATAATGTAGAGACTTAATATTAAACAAAATAAACCCATAAACGATGTACATAAACAAAAGAATGTTGAAGGTTTACCTTGACAATATGATGAATAACGTTGGTCTGGATGAGAATTTCGATGTACCAATGGTTCATTTGTATAAATGGTAGAAGAAGGAGAAGAGGAACAAATTAGGGATGTAGTAATTGGTGTATGATGATGAGAAATTTTTACAAATGAATTGGAATTATGATTAGGAGTACTACTGCATGTAGTTATATGATCAGATGAATGTCTTTCAATACTGTTTAACTGATCACTGTTTCTACAAATAAATTGAAAATAATAATAAAAAATGACCAGTGTTGATTTGTTTACAAAAAGGTAGTATTTAATTCTTTCGTTATTAAATATATTCAATAAATTTATTTATTTACTTATTTATATCAAAAGGGTTTTTTGTGAATATTATTGTAATTTGAGATCATGAGTCAATTGAAGCTAGACCACTATGGTAAAACCTGGAAGTATTGGACAGCCGTTTCCTCCAATTGTGGGACTCCTCAGAAGTGTCCATCCACGATCCTGCCTTGTGAGATTCTAACCTAGAACTTATCAGTCTCACAATGGTGGATGTTTAGCTCAATTTTATGGGTTAGTTAAAGTTAGATATTAACACCGTTGGATACCGGCCGGATCAGTGGTCTAGTGGCTAAGCGCTCGCGAGCGAGACTAATAGGTCCTCAGTTCGAATCTTGAGGGGCGGGATCGTGGGTGCACACTCCTGAGGAGTCCCACAACAGGACGAAATGACCGTCCGGTGCTTCCACGTTTTCCATTGTGGTCTAGCTTCAATTGACTCATGATCTCAACTATTGAAATTATTTACTTATTTGCCAATTGCTGAGGAGTCCTATGTTGGAACGAAACGTTAGTTAGTGCCTCGTGATGTTTAATGATACCACGACTGGCAGCAATCTGTGATGAATTTAACTTGAAAATTAAACTATACCCCACAGAAACAATTAACCTAAATTTATATTTATTTAAATAAACACAATATGCATTAAAAATATAATTTGGATATTATAGTCAAACGTCTTTTTAGCAATAATCCACTAATCATATTTAGATCAATATCAAACAATAGAAGTTTTATGGAAAATATTTGTATTTTTCACCATACTGATTATGTGGATATATAAGAATTAAATGTAGTTTTCATCAAGAACTGATGTCAATCTAGAAAGCGGCAATCTGCGAAAGTAATCAATTTTTAGGAATGAGATATTGGTGTACTAATAGATTACGGTTACAAACTGATAAGGCAAGAAAAGAGTTAACAATTATGCTCTGTCGTATTAGGTAATCGTATTATCCTCAAAACATGAAGTTCATATGATTCACGCCTGTATATGTGGGAGGGGGGTAATGAATGAGCATTGTTAAGTGGTTTGGAACTACGAGGAATCCATTGATCAATGCTCTCTAATTTTAACTAGTTCTTTAACAGACGCCAGTTTATCGTAAATTATGGTTCAAAGGCTACAAGTAGAAATATAAAAGAATAGCTATCATCCTATCACATTTTTGTTAGAAAAGATAAGGAATAAAAGTGATAAAGTCAAATTAAAATCACGACATGCTATCTAAAATACCAACCGGATCTAAATTACTAGTAAACACTCAACATTTTTTCTAAGTGAAATAATATTACGTCGGAATAATACAATATAGGAGTACGTACCACATAAACTTGACCCGATATAAGATTGATTTTGTTCAAGGCTATTTGTTAAACTAACAACCTTATTCACGTAGTTAAAAATAAACGTTATCAATGTTCGTCTACATTAGTATAAGATCTGGAACAACAGTTTAGTGCTCTAATTTATCCGTATAATTCACCTATTAATGTCGAACTTACATACTAATGTTAGTTAGAAGGAATCAAAATAAATCAACGTGTTATACTTACCTTGTCAGCGCTAATCATAAAATAAAATAATTCTGACTGCATAACCATGAAAAATAGCAGCGAGGACATTATTTGGTAGCTGACTGATAAATAACAAGGGATTGTGTAAAAATTTCAGAGATTTAGTCTTCAATTCACTGGACAACTCTAACTCACTGCTACAGAACTAACCTGACTTGATTAGTAGTACTATGACAGTTAGTTCAAAACAACGTGTAAAATACCATCTGAAACTAGATCTGCTTCCAATGGGAGACGTGGATCACATACACAAACCTAAATCAAACTTTTGACCGGGTACACAAAATATATTAGTCAGTTGTTCTTTTTTCGGTTATATAATGATTCTATATCAAACAACAAAAAACCGTATGTAATTCAGATTTTGAACTTTTAAGAAACAAATAGTTTGTGAGATATCAGTGACTGTTATTGAAATACCATCATAATCTTTACTTTTATTTATGTTAATGATGTGAGTCTAGTCAAAGCAACTTTGTTAATCAACACTTTTGGTCAACATGAAGGATTTAAAGCTGATTACATTATCTGGTATCATAGGTTATTTACCTTTGTACTTAAATAATCAAGAGTATCAGGCTGATCATTTATTAAGATCTGAACACTTAGATTCCAAATGAGTAAACTAATGACTCCTCGCACTTCTTTTTTGCTTGACTATGTTTCTTTTTAACTTCAGACTGTAAATCCCACAAATAGCTGATTTTTAGCTTACCGTCATAAATAAATATTTGTGAACTCAAAACTCTATCTTAAAGGAGCCTGTTCTATTATTTTTTCTACATATTAACACGATGAAGTGATTCTACATCAGTAAAACATGGCAGTCACCCGTTAAATAATTCAATAGGTAATAATAAATAAAAAAATCCCCGTGTTATTGTGAAAACAAGATCATTCAAGACAAAACCGATCAATCTGAAAAGAAAGATGGAAGGATGATAACTTTCAATGTCGAAAATTATGATGCCACTATATGTTATTATGGTAAAACGTGGCTAATAGACTACAAAAATATTTAAATGTGTTTGAAATGCACTTGTTCCCTTGAAATTCATCTTCATAAAACCGAACATATTGGTATTAGTGTCAAAAGCCTTCTTTTGTCTGCATGAAAATGATTTCAAATCCGTGCTTCATTAAACTGCGGGAGACTATCAGAACTTATCAAAATATATGAGATAAGATTTTATTATTTATCAAGACGATCAAAAGTTTTGTAATTTTAATCCTTCTAAAGGAAAACAAGATACTGACATTCTCCATGGAAGTAACATTCAAAGTGAAAGCTGTCACAGAATTCATCCACTTTACAATCATGAGTACCAAGATTTTACTAAACAATTATGTTAAACAAAGTACGCATACATATATGTCATAAGCAAGTTTATTTTGCGAAAGAAACAGACTTAAAATGGAGCGTTTCAGAGCCTTTACATGGTTCATTATACTGCTTTGCATACTGAAAAGCAAATATTTTCCTTTCAGTAGTCAGATTATTTTAAAATTACTTGGCTAATTTTTAGTTAGTAACTAATCCTTGTAAATTTTTTATAAGGCCGATTAAAATGAACGTCTATGTATTAAGAGACCTCTCACAGATTCAACATCTATGTTAATCTAACTTTGCCAACAGTCAACCATAATATCAGTATTAACCTGAAGTAGGGATTTAGCCGGTGCACATTTCTGTCAAATTTACAAGCTTTTGTGCTTTCCTGCTCTTAAGCCAAGCCATAGTAGGATATTTCTACACAATGATGGTTACATCACTCCAAGTCCCATTCAACTTGCAAAACACAGTGTCTTCAAGTATGGTCACTGCTTTCTCTTCAACTTGTGAGCCGGATCGCGGGCTGGTCCATCAGAGTACATATTGGGCAGTCCTGAGAATCACTAGCCATTATACTGAATTTCAATGCTTCTGATCACTACATAGCCATTCGAACACAATGTTTAGTCTGCACTGGAAGTGATACGTAAATGACTTTAACTTATATATATTTCACGCTGGCTAACCTGTTAATTTTAACCAGCAAACGTCAAGAACAGATCCAAGATCCTACTGTATTCTCAACTCATCAGGTTGTTAGAAATAGTTCAGACTTATCATCAAGTTGGGTGATATGGATTAATACTAATTCAGACTAATTCAAACGCATTAATGTTTTATCCTCAAATTTTGAATGCAACAACACTTCATCCCGTAGTTCAGATTTTGTTGGTCTTTTTCTTACTTTTATTCTACAATGCTATTTTGAATATTGATTTTTATTTGTTGCATCTCTTCGCGTTACTCTCATCTAACCATGATAATATAAATGGTGACAACCTGAAAAGATTGATATTTTTGACACTACTTTTATCTGTCTAGTTACAGACAGAGCAAAACGGTGTCATGTCAATCTGGGTATATATCCCATATAAACCACAACATGAATTCTTTCTATCTATCCGTTTGCAAGCAATGCAAGATCTGACCCAAACAAAAATGTATCCAAAACCACCAAGTCTAAACTAAAACCAGTTTAAGGAAATAAATAATACAAAGTTATCAATCTAATAGAAATTCACCATACAACGATCTAATGAGGATCTAAAACCAAAATTCTCTCAGAATTCAAGCCAAAATTGCTACACATTTTGTCTGTATGTAATATTTTTTGAAATGCCTTAGAATATTAAGGTATTCAAAGATACAATGTAACTCTGCTTGTTAGGGAAACCTTGTAACACAGTGTAATGGAACTGTACATTATGCATTTATAAAGTCTAACCAGACAATCAGGAAACTTGCAAAAATTAAACTCTTCTTACGCATAGCCCACTGGTTGATTTCTAGTAGATACTTTCTTGGCACATATGGATGATATATATTTATCACAGCATCTGTCACCACCTTGAAGAAGTAGTTCTTCTTGATTCTTGACAACATTTATATCCAGGGATTTTGAGGTAGACATGGAAGATGTAACTTCATTCAGTGAAGGGACTGCATACGAAGAAAAACTTGTTGGCATTGTTGAACGGAGTTTCGATCTACTTAAATTAACTCCGTGGTTTTGTGAATATCTAAAACAATAGCTCATGGAAATATGTTGTATATCCATACCTGTAAGCCCTATAAGAATCTAAAAAACTTCTTGGGGCATCACGAATATCAAATCGATTTGGGCTTGCATATCTTGTAATTCGATCACTCTGAACAGAAGGACAACTGTTTACAATTTCATGCATGCTAGCTGATCTCATTTCTGAAGAGCTCACGTCAAACGTTTTTAGATGTTTCACATTACTGGTATTGCTTTCATGCTGCATAATTTCTATGACGGAATTAAAAACCCCTTTTTATCACAAGAATAACTCTGTCCTTGTATTCTCACCGATGTTAAAATCATCATGAGGTTTCGAGTAGTTATAAAGCAATTTAAAATACCCCATCCATATTTTTGAAATATTCGGAGTTATACAACTATATATTCATTTACATGACCGGCTGCAGTTTCATAACTGAGTGTCAATCAGTTACTGTTGAAAAGTGATACGAAAAAACAAACATTGAACTAAAGCTGATTTCAATTTCACTTCAAAAAGACAGAAAGTCGAGTGGCCTGTTTTAGTCTTGACAATATCTCTCTCTCTCGTTTGATCTAATTTTCTTGTGAAATTGTCAGCAGATTGAGCACCAATTACGTCTTAAGCTGGTGAATTACATTCGTTGATTATTAGATGACAAATAATTTGATATAGACTTGTGAACCATTTTAGAGTATCCCCATAAATTCTTTGTTTAATAAGACAGGGAAAATAAGGGAATACCGGATGCAAATTTACCTCCAAGTAATTTAAAGACTGACCACGTCGCCTCTAACTCTTCTATATGACAATAGAAATAGGTTTAGTTTAACCAGTTGAGTTTCGCTATTCCGGGAATTGGCTTAGTTGCGGTTTGCTGGACCGTTTCAAACGGCTCATTGTCTGTTTTTACGAAGGGATAAGCCATTTGTACGCACTACTCGAGTTTATGACGAAGGATACTCTATACAAAGTCAAAAAGGTTTTAGCGTCAGCATGGCTAATGGCTCAACATATTGACCATAAGTTTGTAGCGTGGCGTCGAGTCGCGGTTGACTATGAACACCGCTACAAAGAAACACGTGCCAAATAAATCAGAAGGCGAGGGTTGGACGTAACCAAATAGATCCATAAAATCCCCGAGAAGCCAAATACCAGAAGGCAATTAATGGACCAAATCGAGATATATATTTGCTGGCGATCTCGTGGCATCGAAAGGATACCGAGATCGTGCCAGGATACAAGCTTGGTTAAAGAACGTAACCAAATTCGCGCGAAGTTACAATCAAAGTGTGTGTATAAGAATGGAAGCACAAAATAGCTGTCATTAGGCCAGTCAAACAGAAGCACGTTAAAACAAGCACTGGTACAGTTGGTTATAATAATAATGGTTTTTATTAAACCAGTCGTGTTCTCGTGATAGATGTGAGTCACTACAAGTTCATAGAACCTTTGGTGGCTATCCATTTGCAGTGTGTAATAGGTTTTAGGTCTTGGCTAACTATGAATCCTAGATCACTGCGTTTATGGACAACAGGTAGCTCACTTTTGATAGAACAATTAGAATACGAAGTTGATCTGAAAAATACGACGAACTGCTTTTATACACATAAGGGAAGTCTAAGTTGACGAGTAGCCGAGGTTCTATAAGCCTGAGAATTCGTCCTTGACACCTTCTATACAACGTCTTAAAGGCCGCATTGGTGTCAATCCTGCATCCCGTTTCATTTATATCCTTTGTCACTGATGAACATAGTTTTCTAATTCCCGCACTGATCGGAATGTTTGACATTAAGATTTATGGAACATGTGTCTGGATGACTTTAAAATCAGTTGGCTTAGACAACAGCCGGTTGTAAGGTACCTTGCCAACCGCCTTACTGAATTCAATGTAGGCTACATCGACAGGTAGCTTTTGAACTTTAAGAGTGCATCAACTTTCATGGGCTACTAATTAGTTTGTGAGACACGAATAACCTATTCTAAAGCCACTCTGATTTTGAGAAAGAATCCAGATTTTGTGATGGTATTCAAACAACTACTTTCGAATAGTCTTTTCTATAATTTTAACAACCACACTGGTTAGACGTACGGGTTGGTAGTTATTAGGTTTGTGTCACGTGTCTGATTCAGAGATAAAACTTACTGTGATATTCTTCCAGCCCTTTTGTATTCTAACCTGAGTTGCGGATAGATTAAAACATGCTTAACAAATTTGCAACAACATTTGCTAGTTCCTGAAGTAAAATATTATACATTTCATCAACTCCTATGGATTTGTAGAATTATGGTCTACTATGATATTAGTACTGTTCTTATAATAGACCTAATCCTAAATTTGTAGATTTGTCATGATATAACTGCCTAATCTATAAGATCTTACGTGGAAGTCACACCATCGACTACACCAACTCACTGTATCGTATCAATTACCAATACATGATGTAGAACAAGGTTAGGCTAGAGAAAGAACAATATATTTAATATGAATAGAAGATATAAGGTAACGTTCAGCAGAGACCACGCCTGCATGGCCGAGCCATGCCACTCGACCAACTCCAGTTCATTTTATTCCTTGTTCGCGCCTTCTCCATTGTTAGGTATTTCTCCGTGTTAAATATTGAATATCTATTTTCTGAGTAGTCTCGTTTTCAGCTTTGAGGATTGTGTGGTTATGATCCAATGCCACTACAGATTTGCCTAAATCAAGCCCATTTGGCAGACCTAATAAATTGAGTTATTTAATGGTGACAGTATCCAGAGTGTATGTGAGGCGCTGTATGAGCTGAAGGGGAAGGTATCTCTAGGGTAATTCGAGAATACCTGAGCTCCACCATAATCATCCTCCACTAATGATGCAGTACTACTGTCTCCCCATAGTGCTGGGACATCTCTCCTCTTAGTCCTTTGGTTAATGTATAAGCATAAGCGTTTAAGGTATTCTATAGACTCCTTAACAAGTTTTTCTTGCTACAACCTTCTGGACTTGCGGAGGGTTGAAGGACAGATGTTTTGAGCTCCACGATATTGAGATTCTGTCTTGTCGGTGCCCACTAACCTAAATATCTACCATTCTACTCTTACAAAGTAGGTCATGAACCTCTTTGCTGAACCATATCACGCAAAGATAAAAACTGATAACCGGAAAACGGTGAAAAATCGTAAAATATTAGATATATAGTCAAACAAGTGAAAAGGCGAATGTGTCAATAACTGATATATATATATATATATATATTCGTTGGTTTAAATATAACGTAAAATGGAAATTTACTAAACTTGTAGTTTTTTTCTATAGTAATAATATTCATGTAAACAAAGAACTTATACTTTTCCAATATGGCACTTTGATATATCAATCTGTCCTCTTGTCATTTTTTCTCTCATGTGCGCGACTTACGGGTAACAAACATCGTATTGAAGGTGGGTCTGGTGAACAAAAACGCAGGCCCCACACGCACTCGAACCTCTGCCCTCCTGAATGCTAGACCGCGTGCTTAGCCATTAGACCACATCAAACCACGGGCGAATGACTGCAATCTTTCCTTTTACCGATTAATCATATATAATACTAATGAGTAATAGGACTTACACACTTCTGAGGTGCAAACCAATTCGTTACTTGGATGAATTGACGATATATTGCTTCAATATATCATGCATACCTAAATCAAACAAGAAAAGGGTATTTGACACAACTGTACTTGATCCGCATACTCTACACAATTTTTCTTTTGCTTCTTAACCGTATATTCTTTCCCGTTTTGTGGAGTATTCTAATGCACCCTTGGTTACGAACCTAGTTGTGAAACGCGGTCATCACAAGCTCAAGGTCACGCGTTTGATCGATTTTGTTAAAGAGTCCAACTTCTAGCAAGTTCACCCTTTTACATATATGCATTACAAAAGAGTATTTTTTTTTGTTTTCATGGTTTTTCGTGCACAAGATATCTACACTATGTCTATTCTCTTCCAGAATACCAATCCGTTCTGGAGACCAAGCACTTACATGGAACCGAACAATTATCAATTACATTTATGTATTTCCATTTTGTATCTTATTATTTTATGCAGGCAGTGGAGCATTTCTTCAGGTTTGCTTGATTTTCACCATTACCTTTGAAGTAGATTCTTCTTTACTTTTTACTTGAGGGCGACTCAAGAGGCAGGTGAGTAAACACCTGATAGCCGGTCTGAGCACGGAAAAATCGTACCTCACCAACATGGTGTTGGGTAGCCCGCTCGCGGCACTTCCTCAGATATTCTTATTCCACATTCTCACACTTTCTCTTGAATGCACGCAGCAAACCGTCGGCGATAGTTGTAGAAGAAATCACATGCTACAAAATAAGATGACAAGCTAGTAAATAAGAGACATCCATGGACTATCGATGACAGCGTCAGTCGTCACTGATTGTAAGTCAAACAGTGAGCGAGTTGATAATTTTCCCTGGGGATGAGAAATAGAACTAAGGTGTTTTCGATAGTTAGGTTAATCGAACCGACGTTCCTACGGACGTCGATTCTAGGGGGAAGCTAATGTAACAGCCTAGGTTGGTTGGTTAAGAGTTGACCCCAAACAACCAAGCATATGCCAAAACAGTACTGTTCAAGTATTCATTCACTTCCTTGTTTTGTATAAGCGTTATATTCCCTATTATCTTATATTGAATGTTGAGAGCCTTTGTTTGTCTGAACAGGTAATCCGACGCTCCACTGTTACCGCGCTGAGATCGAAATAAAGACCTATTCACTACTTCTCTGGTTTCTTCTATCAATAGCACGAGGGTTACTTTAAGGCACGAAAAATGTACTCAAAAAGTGCGGATGATAAATTACATTCTAAAACCTTACTCGTGATGTAATTTTAACATGCTTTTGTCATAACTACATGATGGCTGCTTGATACATCATTAAATCTTTATTCTCATTGACTAGGAGCATTGGATGAATTAAAAGTTTCTGATGGGAATGAACGTATTAAATTTGAATGTTTGAATCTTGTCATTGGTGAGCCATATATGTTCAAATGTGGAAACGCCTTACTAACTGGTAAGTCCCCAAAAAAGCAGAATATCATGCCCGAAAATAATTTTTACTGCTGGTCTTTTTACTTGCAGTTTATAAAAATGTTTAAGAAAATTTCTACAGTTATTTCGAAGCTACGAACTACTATATTGAATTTCCTGATAATGCTTGCGCGAGTAGCATTAAATTTGCTGAGGTTATCAAATTTATCCATAGGGGTAAAGTGGTAAACTGTAATCTATCATTCTTGTTGTGTTGCATGGTCACTCTTATGATAAGTTCTACTGCAACAAGATCACGTCACAGCAAGTGTAACAAATAATAATAATACTTCATTCTTAAATGACAGTCTGTTACATGAGGCATGCCAATTTACAAGCAAGATCAAATTGTGACAGTCTTCACTGTAAGGGGTT